TTTATTTATTTATTCATGAGAGACAGAGAGAGAGAGAGGCAGAGGGAGAAGCAGGCTCCCAAGGAGCAGGGAGCCCGATGCGGGACTCGATCCCGGGACCCTGGGATCACGACCTGAGCCGAAGGCAGACGCTTAACGACTGAGCCACCCAGGCGTCCCGTATTTTGTTGTTATTAAAATTTTTTTTATAAAGATTTTATTTACTTATTCATGAGACACACAGAGAGAGAGAGACAGAGGCAGAGGGAGAAGCAGGCTCCCGATGCGGGACTCGATCCCAGGACCCTGGGATCACGACCTGAGCCGAAGGCAGACGCTTAACAACTGAGCCACCCAGGCGCCCAGAACTATTATAATTTTTATATTAAAATCACTGTTGGAAGTCTATTATTTTTTTCTTAGACTCTAAAGGAGATATAAAACCAAGAGTTACATGCTGCCTCTTTTGTGTCATGATTCCCAAGAGCTATATTACCTGAAACTATTACTAAGAATTGAATAAACACTTTTTTAAACGGTGATGTCTAGATGTAACTTGAGTTGAAATAAATTCCTTGAAAGATTAAAAAAATAAAGCACACTTTCTACTTGTTTGCAAACTTTCTAACAAGATTCCCTGAATCAAGATAATCACAATGGCCAGTTTGGTTTATGTTTGGTAATAACACCTTGCCTAATGCTGTGTCTTTTATGTAAAATATTTAAACTCGGAAAACACTCATCTGTGGTATGCCTGATCATAAAAATGTTTGTACCTTGCTTTGTTCAAATACGAAATCTACTGTATTCAAAGATTTACACACAAAAGTAGTACAGCCTCTCACTTTTTTCCTACTTGGATACTGAGGATAACATTCAAACTTAGGCAGGCCTGGGGCCATGTGAGTACCCCCACTGAGTCTAAAATTGCCTTTAGTGACTTCCCTCTTATGTACTTCTGCACCCAAACGGAGATGCTTGTATCTTGCTAGCCTGAACAATTGACTCAATTTATTCAACGTCAGTGTTTATCTCAATATTGTGTATAAATGAAAGGACTGGACGATGGGACATTGGAAGGTACCAGTGGACAGTCTTCTCTGTACGGCACTTGCACTGAATCACCAGCTGTCTCCATTCTATTGCATTTCTCAGCTCATGACTCCAAAATTCCTCAAGCTGCCCCACAATCCTGTGAGTTTTTTATTATTTTTTTTAAAGATTTTATTTGTCAGAGAGAGCATAAGGAGGGGGAGCGGCAGGCAGAGGGAGAGGGAGATGCAGGCTTCCTGCTGAGCAGGGAGCCCGACGTGGGGCTCAATCTCAGGACCCTGGGATCATGACCTGAGCCAAAGGCAGCCGCTTAACCGACTGAGCCACCCAGGCGTCCCCCTGTGAGAACGCACACATTCATGGGGCCTCTTGCCACTCTCAGAACCTTTCCTTGTCTCAATAGACTTTCTCCCAAGGGCTATCAGTTGATTATCAGTAAAATGATGGAGTCACAAATGACTACAGAAAAATACGGTGACAATTTAGCTTCATAAGTTACCAATCACAATTTTCTTATGCCTAAGTGGTATAGAAGATTTTCTGTAAAAGGGCTTCCATAAGCCCGGAGTGTGTGTGGTTAAGGAGGGGAGGCTTCCTAGCTGAGCAGAACCATTCTGATTCCTTCAAGGAACCATAGCCATTACCGTAACAGTGTTGGGTGAAAAGCTGCGCTGGACAGCAATCACACAGTCTGATCTGGCAAAGGCTCAGCCATTGCAAGCCAGACTCCATATCCAGGTGCTAATTACTCAGACGGAACTCCAGGGGCACCTGAGGTAGATGCAGCAGCACAGTGAATTAAGGAAGGAAATAATTAGTCACAATTGCAGAAACTAGCTAAACACGAAGTGAAAGAAGGCATGCGGCCCATTTCCTGCGGAGCACAGAGTCCTTGCAACGGCAGATGCAAAAACCAGGAGAAATGCAAAAGATAAACATGACTTCTATAATCCAATAAGGGACGAATCTCAATTTTAAATTACAAAAATGACTTTATTTAAGTTATTTTCTGTTCCTATGTACTACATAGCCAAATAACATAAAACATTTCAGTGGGAATTTGCACTATGACAAATCAACTTTCAAGCATTTTCTTGACAGTCTTAGAGGTTTTACCAGCATTTGACACAATCTGAACACAGTGAGAGAAAACAAGTGGCAGGAAAAACAACTGAGGGAGCACATAAGGCATTGGGTTTCAACCCCAGTAAAAATATTCATTCAAGAGGCAGAATCAGGTGGGAGAGGGAATAGTATTCAGCAGAGAGCAAATTTATAACTACATTAAAAACCATGCATAGGAACTGTTACTTAACATGGTCAACAAGTTAAGTTGTTCAAAGTACCCCTTTTCAAGGTCTTCTGATTAAAAAAAATTCCTTGGTGGGGAGGACACTCTTCCCTCTCTCCAGAGTGAACTTCAGGATGTTCCCTTTGTCAGTGCCTGGCTCTGGGAAGATGCAGTAACAGGGGACACCTCGTTTGAAAGGCTGGGATGAAACTGTATTAGAAGCATGTCACTGAGGCCTAAATCTAAAAAATGAGTGGCAGGTCTGTTTGAGACTGCCTAAGTTTTCTTACGATGTGTCTGAATTGACAAGAAAAGATGAGAATCTCTTACAGACTCTTGAGGCATTCCCCTCACTCATAACTGTGCTGTTTTGTTCACTTGTTTTACTAACTTAAGGTTACTATGGGACCCTACTGTGAGTTATTGAGATCCTACCAAAAATGTAACTGCTTGACTAGCATCACATCAGAATTAATGGGGGGACACACATTGAAATTACATGAAAATTTATCTTATCTATTCACTACTAAGTACTGCTGACCATTTTCATAGAGATGGATCACGAATGTTCACTGTTTATGTAAATACAGCATTACTACTGATCAGCTATTTGGTAGGAAATTGGAGAGTAGAATAAACTACTTAAAAATGGACTTTTTTTGAAACGATAGAATTAGAAAAATAAACAACAGCAAAACTCCTCTTGGGGGAAGGAGTAAGAAGAGATATAAAGAATCTGTCTTCTTTTTTCTTAATATCAGAAATCATAAGACAGCATACTGCAAGAACTTGGACCTTCCTCATCCCAAGTAGCCTGAGAAAGATACCAGGTTGTTTAAAACCCTCTCTAAGAAGATGGCTTGAGAGGCAGATAAAGAGGCACCTCTGGATGAACAAAATACTCCTACCAAGCATACCTTCCGAGCCTTCCTGCCGAACAGGATGCCATGTAAATTGTTGGAACTCTTTACAGCAGCTACATGGGAAATGCAGGGAAAAGGCGGGTGAACAAGAAAAATCTACAATTGTTTCACTGTACCAAGAACATTTATGTTAAAAGTGCTGTGTTAAGAACAAAACAAAACAAAACAAAAACCTAACACATAACTAGTTTTCTGAGGTGTGGTCTTCTTAGGGGAGTTCCACTGGGATATACTTCTATGCTGTGCTTCAACCAGATCATCACCACACAATTATCTGCTCTACGCTTAACCATGAAAACCGACCAGCAAGCATACCCATCATGGGCTTCAAGCGGCCACAGGAGTTATGAATACGTACGGTGCTTTTAGATTTACAGAAGCAGTTTCTCATGAATCTTACAGAGGTTGCAGAAATAGAACTAGTTGTTCCTTTTGAGCAAGAGCACTTGTAAAATACAGAAAGGGATTAGGTAAATACCCCTTTTACACTGAGTTGATCCATTAAAGGACTTTAGAAAAGTCAGCAGTTCATTTACCTGAGTTTCCCATTTAAAGGCTAAATGTAATTAAATACTTTTTGCTTATACATGTGAACAAAAACTTAACAATATTAAAAAGGGCCAGAGTCAGAAAATTGAGACTCAAGATGAAGTTTGAGACTTTGGAATTTTTATAAAGTCTAATAGAAACATCCATGAATTTTCCTTCATATTTCCTTCATAGTTAAAGCATAAAGTCATAGAACAATACTGATTTACTGGATGTTATTTAGAATTTGGTTTGGGGGCCAACCTGTGAAATCATTAAGCAAGCAAATCAGAGTCATTTGGAATTGGGAGCAAATTATTACAAGTGATAAAACTACTTACTAGTCACTTACTTCAGTTATGAACCCCATGTGAGATTATGAATTAACACCAGATAAAGACTTCAGCATAAATATGATTTTTAACCTGAATAGATCCCTTTTGAAGGGTGATATAGAAAATAACTATAAATTTTATCCAGAAAAATAGTGCACCCAGTGCTTCACCAGTAGTTATTTAAGCTTACCTTTCAACAGGGTATTTTTGTCATGCTCAGTCATGGAGGATCTTCCAAGTCTTTTGTTTGTTTGCTTAAAACAAAGAGGGCTCTGTTTCTAAATACAACACATTGTTCATAATCAGGATCCTAACTATATTCTGGAATCGGATATTCTCTCCTACAAGAAATATAGCCATGTTACTGTTTTAAACATATCATTTCATTTCTAGGTGGGAAATAAGTTACACAAAATCACCATTCTAACACTTGGACATAGAGCAGAAACAATAAAGCATCCCGGACTGCATGATTTCATTATTAAATGAAAAGCATCTCTTTCCCAAATCCTTCACTCCATGACATCTCATAGCATCTCAAACACGATTGAGGTACGTGTGTCTGCTGAGTAGTTCCTATAGCTGTGTTCTGTACATGACTCAAAGCAGCACTGCACAAAATCCCCAGGATCAAGGCGCAAAATTTAAAAGCAATTATTTTGAAACCCCAAATCATCTTCCTATTTTCTTTCATTGTTGAGTCACAAAACTCTCTTAGATCAGACTAGAGCTCTGAAGACAGTCAGTGTGAATTTAGTACATAAAACAAAATTCCCACGATCAGCAGTACTGGTCCTGGATTGAGGGCACAGCGTTTTCATTTTCCTGTCCTACACAGCTGAAGAATCAGTAACAGATTTTGCCCAAGATGCTATACTATGTTGGTTTAAATACAAACGTAAATAAAAGCTCTGCTAACCATCAAGTACAAATTATTTCTAAGTGACATCCACTTAGCAATTTATTCACCCCTTTAAAAAGAAAAAAGTAACAATCATTTTAGATGAGATGCTTATTTTAAGCCAAAAAGCAGAAAGAGTTCCTGTGCTCGCATCCCTTGCATCCGCAGCAAGGGCAGGATTACGGGAGCTCCACTTATGGAGATGAGGGTTATTCTGCGTACCAGGCTGAATGTGAGGAGATGCCCCCTCCCCACCCCCCACCCGAAGCAACCAGTGCACCTGACTACAGTGCACCAGCCCTTTCATAGACCGCTTCAGTCGGGAATATTTTTTCCATCTGATGTACACCCATATCAAGATATCAAAGGTTATTACATTACTTAAAAGCCAGGCTTCTGATTCTGATTTTTAAATTTAATTACCTATTTTAATTAAAATAAATCTAGCTTCTCTAAGGTTGTTCAGCAGTACTACATAGCAATATTAAGATGAAGGGCAGGGGGAGGAGAGCCTCTGTATTTTGTTTTTAAATGATATTTTTGAAATGTTGGTGAGAACGCAAATCAGTTAGATGATAAATGACCAATTCAGTACAAAATCCTAGCCTAACGATCACGTTGACTTGAGTCAGGTATATGAAATAACACAAGTTAGGGTTCTGTTGGAGATGAGGAGAAATTTTGAAAACAATGGTCTGTGGCAATGCACTTACGTGAATTTACACTCCAGAGAAGAGTTTTCTATAGGATGAAGGACTTGGCCAAAGCAGAAGGCAGCTGGTATTACAATGACTAGCACGGACTCCTTGGTACATACACAATGAAAACAAAAGGACCCTGGACAGGTGTAAACAAGCAAAAAATGACCTTGGCAAAATATCTATTTAAAAAATACCAAAAAGCATGCAACTTAAAATTCCCTCCCTTTCACAAGAATGAAATGAAAAAAAAACCAAAAACCAAAAAACAAAAAAACCCAGACGGAACCATCTGTTTCTGTCAGTAGAAAACAACAATAGATACATTAGGTTCCAGGACAAATAAAACTTTAAAATATTAATATTGAAAAAATACAATTAAATTTTTATTAAAAAATACATACTCCTTACTCAATCTTTGTGTACATTTTGTTTTGTGTGAAAAAGAAAAAAAAATAAAAATAAAATAGGAAAGGCATTAAGACTACCTAATTATTTATACTGTATTTGGTAGAAGCACGTTTCAGTCAAGCTTTAAAGAAAATAAGTTATTCTGCTTTCATTTGTTCCCGGACATCAGAAGGCAGAGTTTCAAACAGAGCATCTTCTACAACCAACCCGGCTCGCTTCAGGGCCCGACAGTCACCCAGTTCGGGAGGGAGGATTTCAAAGTGATTGCCTTTAACGTCTAAGTAGGAAAGAAATAATAAATTTCCAATTTTCGGTGAAAGTACGGAGAGGCTGTTTTTCCCAATCTTCAGAGTTTTAAGTTTCTTGCAGAAGTAGAGTTCGTCTGGAAGGCTCTCCACTTTGTTACAAGTGATGGAAAAATACTGTAAACTCTGTAGAACTCCGATTTCGGGTGGGATGAACCGAATGTCATTGTAGGACAGGTCCAAGTATCGGATTTTGTTGCATAGGAAGAGGTGAGAAGGCAGCACCTCTATTTTGTTGTGACTGAAGGCCAGGCGCTCCAGGCTGGTGAGTTTCTTGATATGCTCTGGGATGTAGGTGATGCTGTTATGCCACAGTTTCAGCACTGTCAACTTTCTCAAGTGCTGGAAGCTAACGATTTCCTCTATAGATTTCAGATTATTCTCTTTGAGGTCCAATTCCTGGAGGCTGAGCAGACTAAACACGGCATGGGGAATGCGCTCCAGGTCGCAGTGGACCAGCTCCAGCTCTGTCAGATTGGTCATCTTCTTTAAGTTGTTGAGCATCACCAGCTTGGTGCCGTCGTTATGGATGCACATCTTCTGGAGATGGCTGGAAACGTCCACCACTGCCTGAGGGATTTTGGAAACGTTGCTTTTGATGGAGAGAATTTTAAGGCTTTTGAGATCCCGCAGAGACTCAAGGGTGACATTTTTGGAAATATCATGACTTAGAGAGCCGACCAGGTAGAGCTCTTCCAGGTTCCGGAGCCCATACATCCAGGGGGGCAGCTCCCTCATGTCATCAAACTTGACGCTCAAGACCTTGAGGTTTTCCTTCAGGAAAGAGAGTGCCGGACTATGGATTTTGACTGAGCACTGGTGTAGCGAGAGCTCTTGGAGATTGTCTAGCTGCGCGATGGTGGCTGGGATCATCACGTTCTTGATGATTTCAAGTTTTAGAGACTGCAACTCTGTGATCTCAAAGACTGTGTCTGGAAGGCCAGAGAGCATAATAAGAGGCAATTCCAACCGGTTATGGGCATTTGTCTGTAGCTTCTGCCTCAGTTTATCGGGAGTCCACTCGTTATTTAAGTTCAGCTGCTTTAATTTGTTCTCACTCACTTCAGATAGGAACACCGCAAATCTCTTGGAATACAGTGGGTCATACTGATCTATCATATGAAGCATAAAGGCAAAGTCATTTTTCACATCTGGAATATCATCAATTCCAGTCTCCTGCCTGACATACTCAAAAGAATATTCCCGTAGAGAACGGTAGAACAGCCAGTATAAGGTGTAAAGGCACGTCAACCCGTAGATACTTACAAAACACAGGTAGCAAAAGGACAGTTTTGAGAACAAGTGTGCCATGGTATGATTACAAGAAAAGTTTTTATATCCAGTCATGTCCTGAATGTCAACGTTACAGTCCACGGTAAACTGAACTTTGGAAACCAGGGCACTATTATACCCAATGATGATTAGGAATTTTATAACTTTAAGCACAGTCTGGCGAACGTACATAGCATAGAGTATATCACCTTCTTCGACGTGCAGCCTGAACTTCTTCACCTTCTCAAATAAGGCCTTTGCTTGCTCACCTTCCTTCTTATCCAAAGCTCCTGCAGTGGATTTGTCAACCACGAACTTCTCAGGAATGGACTTTAATGACTGAGAGTTGACCAGGCTGCCTTCTGGACCGGACTGGATGGTGTTGGACCTACTCATGTTGTTCTTCCTGTTGTCCTTTTCCTCTGAATCCTCCCCAGACACTTCCGATAAAGCCCGTGTGGTCCAAGGAGAGTCAAAACACTTCCCCAGGATCGAGATGAAGTGTTCTATTTTGGAGCTGGAACCGGGGAACTTGAACCAAAAGTTGCTGCAGAGCATGAAGACCAGGGTATGGATGAGGACCAGGTAAGGGAAATACTTGGCATACCAGTGGAGGGCTCGCTCGTAACACATCTGGTTTATAAAACTGTACTGCTGGAGGTCCAAATCTGTCTTTAGCCCTTTCATTTCCACGGTGGCAGGGTTGGTAGGAGACGGTTTAGGGGGAGGCAGCGGGGTGGTGCTGGCAACTGCTTGAGAGACATTGGACACGGAAGAATGATTCTGAGAAGGCTGGACCCTTTTTGGAAGGCAGATGATCTTGTCTTGCATGACCTGAAACACAGAAGTAATGTTTTCAAATTGCATTATTCAAAGAGCTCTGATAATGTCATTAGCATGAAGCAAGCAGCAATAACATCCAATAAATGTCCATTTCCTTTGCCTGGAGAATATAATGCTTGATTCCAGCACCAGGATTTCATTCCTGGCCCATATGCCAGGAAAATGAAATACTTGACTTTGCTCTTCATGTGTGAGTTATGACATAAAACACAGCAGTTTTCTTTCTTTCTTTTTTTTAAGATTTCCTATTATTTATTTGAGAGAGAGAATGAGAGAGAGAGCATGAGAGGGGGGAGGGTCAGAGGGAGAGGCAGACTCCCTGCCAAGCAGGGAGCCCGATGTGGGACTCAATCCTGGGACTCCAGGATCATGACCTGAGTCGAAGGCAGTCGCTTAACCAACTGAGCCACCCAGGCGCCCAACACAGTGGTTTTCTTAGGCCCCAGAAGAACTCACAACAAAATAAGTATTTAAAGAACATTCACGTGTTTTAAAATTTTGCATTTCTTCTCTCCCTGAAGCCTGGGAGAATCAGTCATTGGTCTGGGAAGTACATCCCCTTATCAGACTCAGTCCTGAACTGGATGGCTCCCCAGATTAGGTGGGCTTGTGTATGAGAATTAACAGGATTGGCAGGAGGAAATGTGGAAGAAATTCCTATCTTTATCATTTACCCCTTCCTTTCTACCCATATCCTGGACTGCATGCATAGATGAATGCAAATGACCTTCATAAAATGTGAATTCACTACGCTTTTAGAAAAACCATTTCATCTCTCCACAGAGAGATAGGAAAGAATACAGAAGTGCTCCATAGTAAAATAATTAGGTTTCAACTTGCTGGCTTTTCACAAAAAACATTACATTGAAAATTTTTATCCCTCTACCAATACTGCAATTTGTCAGAAAAAAAATAGTAAGCCCTAAGAACGTCCAGTAGTCTCCTAACATTGCAATTTGGGTAAGAAAGAGGGCATCCTTTTTGCAGATGATGGAGTATGAGGCCAAATACTCTTTGAATCAACCTGGAGGAACTGTCCACAGGAACAATAAGCAAACAGTTCAGAGGGAGAATAACCACCAAGGAATTGACAGCGATAACATGTGGAATTAATAATGCAGGGAAAATCTATTTAAAAATGTCAAATGGGGCGCCTGGGTGGCTCAGTTGGTTAAGCGACTGCCTTCGGCTCAGGTCATGATCCTGGAGTCCCGGGATCGAGTCCCGCATCGGGCTCCTTGCTTAGCGGGGAGTCTGCTTCTCCCTCTGACCCTCCCCCCTCTCATGCTCTCTCTCTATCTCATTCTCTCTCAAATAAATAAATAAAATCTTTAAAAAAAATAAAAATAAAAAAATAAAAATGTCAAATGGCTGGAAATCCATAGCTTTCAGTGATTCTGCAATAGTAAAACATTTAGTGATTTCGGTAACAAACAGTAAAGCCCTTTATAGCAGTTATTGAAGCAGAAGCTGAATTCACTGTGAAGTGGGCTGCTATGGCATGGCAATGTGACCACAAGTCGGTGACATGGGGGACACCGCCCACCAGACAGACGTACAAGGTCTGACAATGGAGTGGAGCGCCCAACACTTAGCAGAGTGCCCAATACAAAGGAGACCACCCGCATGTATCTGCTGAGAAAGTGGATGAATCCTGAACTGACATGAGTATTTCCGGTTCAGAGTTGCGTACGTCTGCGTGTGGCCCCTAGCTCTTCTAGGGAAGAAGCTAAGGATAGTGACTATAGTGCTGTTGGCAGAAAACTTCTGCTGTGTTTAATATGCAACTGAGCCTATTCTAAAAATGTCATGGGTATTCATTAATTGTCACCGGAATCCGATGAGGCAGGTACTCTTATTATTCCCATTTCACAGATGAGGAGACCAAGGCACAGAAAGGTTAAGTTACTTGCTACTGTCATCCTGCTCAGGCCACCTGGACCCAGAGCCCACATTCTTACTTTATTTTACTGAATTTCTAGAATTAAACCAAAAAGATCCCAATCTGACTTTATCATAACAAATTACCTTATGCAAATTATGTTCCAGGAAAAGAGCTTACCACTTCAATACCCTATGCAGATAACAATGAAATAATGTGGTTAAGGGGAAGAGAAGAAGTCTCACTACAAGAGTTATAAAAGCTCTGTCCTGGAAGATAAAGCGGGGAGCAATTATTTACTGTGTCAATCAGGAGAAGCAAGGAAGAAATCACACACATGACCGCATTTCTAGAACTCGGTGGCTACAGAGGTGTGAGAACTGAGCAGTGGCCTTCAAGCGTTTTTATCACTTACCTATGTCAGAGAAGAAATGTTGAGCGTGTCCACTCAGTATATGTATGTCTATTCATAATTACATCCATAAAGTCCTGTCAATCCATATGTGAAATATTAGGAAAGCTTAATTCCTTTCCCTTGAAGCTTAAAATAAATGCAGGCATACCTTGAAGATAGTGCAGGTTCGGTTCTGAACTACCACAATAAAGCAAATATTGCAACACAGCAAGTCAAATGAATTTTTTGGTTTTCCAGTGCATAGAAAAGTTACGTTTACACTATACTATGGTCTATTAAGAGGGCAAAAGTGTCATGTCAAAAAAATGTCCACCATCATCTGAGCTTTCAGCAAGTCATAATCACTGGTCACAGATTACCAGAGCAACTATAATAATAATGAAGAAATTTGAAACATTGCAAGAATTACCAAAATGTGACACTAAGACAGGAAGCAAGTGGATGCTGTTGGAAAAATGGCGTCAATAGACCTGCTCGACCCAGGGTTGCCACAAATCTTCCATATGTGAAAAACACAGTATCTGCAAAGTGCAATACAATGCGGTGTGCCTGTCTAAATAAAAGTTTTCATTTTTATCTCACATCTCAATGCAGCACCCTTTGCATTTCTGGGGAGTCAAGCACTCTACCTTGAAACCCCTGGAATAGAAAATAGCAGGAGGAAGTCTAGACAAATGCCAGACTACCCTTAAGGAATACAGAAGAGAGACAAATAAGCACTTTAGTGTTTGGAGTCATGTTCTGGATGTGCTCCCACTCATAGTCTCATTTAATGCTCCAACAGTCTGTGTAGTAAGCAGAAGGCAGAGGTGAGAGATGAGCAGGGAAAGGGAGTGCTTCCCTGAGCACCTTCCCCAAGAGTGACACCTTCGAGCTTGAGTGTTAATATGGCATTGTTAGTGTTGTGATGAAAACACGGAAGGGGCACCTGGGTGGCTCAGTCGTTAAGCATCTGCCTTCTGCTCGGGTCATGATCCCAGTGTCCTGGGATCGAGCCCCGCATCGGGCTCCCTGCTCAGCGGGAAGCCTGCTTCTCCCTCTCCCACTCCCCGCTTGTGTTCCCTCTCTCGCTGTGTCTCTCTTGTCAAATAATAAAAATCTATAAAAAAAAAAAAAAAGAAAAGAAAACACGGAAGACTTGGTTTGTGAAAGCAAGATCAGTTAGAAGGTAAAAAGGCAGGCACCTTCTTAAAGTGCTAACTCCCTGCCAAGCGACCAGGCAGACCCCATTCCTGGCCTCCTGCCTAGTACTTCCCCAGGCTTGTTCCTAATGGTGGAAGATGATAGACCTATGGAACTTGCTTGCATAAGGTTTCAGTATATCCATTGCACAAGGGTGCCAAGCAAATGGGGCAAACAAGGGTGGGCTGAAATCCTGCTGTGCTCTCCTTGGTGGGATGGAAGCCCCATCCTCTTGGGGCTATCTATGGTCACAAGGTGGGGATACTTTTTATATTCTGCACAAAGGTACCTAATTGGCTAGCATCTGCCATGCTAGGGAAGCAGGTCATATTCTCCCCATTCTACAGAAGAAAAAACCAACTAAGGTTCAGAGAATGTCAGTAACTTGTCCAAGTTCACACAGCAGGAACTTCAACCTGTGTCCTGTTTACAGCCTAGTGTTCTTCTACCCCTTCACATGTCTTCTCACCTCACCAAGCTTCTGCTAGGAGGGCTTCCCAGAGAACAGCCCAGCGTAGGGGAGGGAGACAGAGCTCACCTCCCCAAGTTCCTTTTAGTCTTCTGATGCCGGCTATTTCTCTTTCAATCTTCATGAAGACAGAATTTTTAAAAATGTGCCTACTTAAATCCCAGGAGGGGAAGGACGGTGAGCTACTTTCCAGCAGCTGTTAACTATTCAGAAGTGAGCACAGAGTCGAAAAAATACTGAAACTCAGTTGCTAAGGATGATGGCTGCCCCAGCGGCTGAGAGAACATTTCCTAAGAAGACTCCAGCAGAGACGCAGCTCAGAGTAGAATTCCCCCAAAACGTGATGGCTGGTTGCCTAATCCAGGACTGTGAGAAGGAACAGGACAGCTTCAGGGAGTCTGGCAGCAGGAGAGTGAGCATTTAAACAGTAAAATGGCCACAGGACAGAGGAAGGAAGTTGCCCCCTCCATGTTAAAGAGACACAGTATTTCTGAACGTGGCAGCACTGAGAAGAACTGGGAGAAGGACGTGCATTTTCGAAGGTACAGTTGCCAGAAGTAAGGTGGCCAGGCTTTCCTAAAACAGCAGTGGCAACCACGACAACAAACGGCACAGGGTGCTTTGTGGTATCTTTGTAAAAAAACAGCAGCAGCTTGTAAGAACTTGAAATTCTTTGTTTCCTCTTTCCCGCTTTTTGGAGAAATTTGTTAATTAAACCGATATACCTCACTTCTCTTTACTTTTATTCATTTAAAGGTTAGAGCCCCAAACAAGCCTTACAGAAAGGCTGCAACACCAATTTCAAAGGAGCCTCAGGGTTGCAGGCTGCTGGAGCAGAGTGGCTGGGAGGTGAGCAGGGACAACCCCCCCCCCCACCTTGCTCACACCCAGCTCATACACATGCATCACAGTGCAGCGAAATTCCACCATTTTCATCCAGAGGCAACCCTCAGAATGCCTTTGGAGGAAAAGGGCTTGAGACCAGGAGCTACAACGTGTGTTTGTGAAGGGAGACTGGAGGGGGAGGGAGATGGGGTAGGGGG